TGAGAAAGAGTATGAAGAACACATGCAGATGGGAAAGCTAAAGTGAGATCCTGCAAACTGCAACTTCTTGTTCCCAGAAGACAACTTGAGTTGAACTTGTAGAAAGGCATGGGTGGGGACCTAAACAGGACTAATAGTGGAAAGGGGAAGACACATAGCTCAATAAAAGTCCAAAGCCAAAGTCCAAATAGCTGATTAGCTTTATGGGCCCTCCCATTTTAGTAGATATAGCTTATACTTTTTATTTTACCACAGTTCCATATTTTGTCTTTCTAGGATGTTCTATTAATTGTCTGTCTAAGGGATGGAGCTCATAACTCCCCTAGATGATCTCCAGCATCCCTGCTGTGGATGTTTGTTACTGGTTTATGGAGAATTCTAAGCACTTCTAGTACCACCTTACTAAAGAAATAGATGACCAAATAAAATCTATACTGAGGATTTACACCCATACTAATGGCTAACATCAAGAAAACAAAAGGTAATGATGTGAATATGATGAGAAATGATCCTTTATGTATAGTTGATCCGAATGTAAATTACTGCAACAATTATGAAATTTCATGTGATATTTTCTTGATAGAAATCCCACCAAAATATAAATTCCACATAACCCAGCATTAGCACTCCTAACTGTGTTCCTGAAGGAACCAAACTCAGTATACAATAAGGTTATTTGCACATAATGATGTTTTTGTACTATTTTTATTAACTAAATTATGAAATTAACTCAACTGACCTTTAGCGAGATCAAAAGAGGGAAATGAGGAGAAACATATCTGATATGTGTGTATAAAATATTACAATAAACAATAATTTTTATAATTAGTACTACTAATAAAAATAAATAGGGACTGGAGAGAAGGCTCAATGAGTGAAGTGCCCTTCTCACCAGCATGAAGAACTGTGTCCAGATCGCTAGAACACATGTATTATCAAATACTGCACCCACATCGACAGCCCTAGCACTGTTGAGGTCATTGCCAGTTCAGTCTATGGAGTTCACAGACAAGGCAGCCTGGGATGATCAGCTGGATTCATTGAGAGAGCAAGAGGCAATTTCTCCTGTGTCCCTTTGTGTCTATGAGAGAGAGTGGGTAGAGAAGAAGAGAAGGGCGTGGTGATAAAGCAGTGAAATCTAGGACATTTTTTATAATTGGTTGAATAGAGATTTTGATACATCTTAAATAACAAAACAAGGTAAAGATGTTGACCTGTACACATGTACACATCTTTCAAAGACTACAGAATATGGTGTTTAAAATGTTTTAACAACTTAGGACTTTTCATGACATTGAGACACATCTGTCCCTGGCAGCACCAGCCTTCTTCATGTGGATGATGGACATTGAAGAGGCTCCTCATGGAGTTTATTAGCCACTGGGCAAGAAACTGCTCTTGCCTGAACTACTTGACTGAACTTGCAGGACACTCAGAAAATGACTGGTAAAGCTGCCTAAAGAAGGTCCTTTGTTGTTCCTGCTTCATGAAAGAGTCTTCAAAACATTCTGCAGGACACAGAAGAAAGTGACTAAAAACTGCCGATATTGACGGAAATCTCTTTGAAATTTCCTGCTTCATGGAAATGTCTGCCGGATACTATGGGTCTGTAGGCTGAAGATGGATGCTCCAAAGATACAGAAGAACTTTGGGTCCAGGCAACAAGATGTTTTTGTCATTTCTAGACTTTTGGATGTTATTTACAATACAGTTCCTCTTAACTTAGGTAATATATCCTTCTGGAGGTTTTGATGGTGTTGAAGAATAAATAGTTATAATTATAGTTTTCCTTAGGTACGACAAAAGATAAAGTAGATATAAATATTGTAATTGTAATTTTTCTTGAAAACTGTTTTGTTATATGCAATTTTACTATGTTAAAGTTAAAATCTTCCCATTTATTTGAACAGAAAAGCGGGAAATGGTGTGTGAGAAGTCCTTCTGTACATGTGTTGCTTTAATTGGTTACTAAAGAAAGAAGTTGCTTTTGGCCAAGAGCTTAACAGAATATAGCCAGGCTGGAGAAGATATAGAGAGAGCAGGCAGAGTCATGTAGAAGCCATATAGCCTCACCAGAGGCAGATGTTGGATGGAACTTTATCCAGTAAGCCACAGACACATGGTGATACACAGATTAATAGAGATGGGTTAATTTAAGATATAAGAATTATCCAGAAATACACTTATGCTATTGACCAAACGGTATTGTAATTAATACAGATTTTTGACAAGGGAGCTAAAGCTATACAATGGAAGAAGGATAGCATCTTTAACAAATGGTGCTGGCATAACTGGATGTCAACCTGTAGAAGAATGAAAATAGATCCATATCTATCACCATGCACAAAACTCAGGTCCAAATGGATTAAAGACATCAACATTAATCCAACCACTTTGAACCTGATAGAAGAGAAAGTAGGAAGTAGTCTACAAGACATAGGCACAGGAGACCACTTCCTAAGCAGAACCCCAGGAGCGCAGACAATAAGAGAAACAATAAATAAATGGGACCTACTGAAACTGAGAAGCTTCTGTAAAGCAAAGGACACTGTCAGTAAGACAAAAAGGCTACCTTCTGACTGGGAGAAGATCTTCACAAACCCCTCAACAGACAAAGGTCTGATCTCCAAAATATACAAACAACTCAAGAAACTAGACACTAAAACTCTAATTAACCCAATTAAAAACTGGGGTACTGAACTGAACAGAGAATTCACAACAGATGAACTTCGAATGGCTAAAAAGCACTTAAGGTAATGCTTAAGTTACCTTAATCGCTAACATCCTTAGCGATCAGGGAAATGCAAATCAAAACAACTTTGAGATAGCATCTTACACCTGTCAGAATAGCCAAACTCAAAAACACCAACGATAGCCTATGCTGGAGAGGATGTGGAGAGAAGGGAACACTCATCCATTGTTGGTGGGAATGCAAACTTGTGCAGCCAGTGTGGAAATCAGTGTGGCAGTTTCTCAGGAAACTGGGAGTCAACCTCCCTCAGGACCCAACAATTCCACTCTTGGGAATATACCCAAGAGATGCCCTAACATACTACAAAAGCATTTGTTCAACTATGTTCATAGCAGCACTATTTGTAATAGCCAGAACCTGGAAACAACCTAGGTGCCCCTCAATAGAAGAATGGTTAAAAAAGGTGTGGAACATATATACATTAGAGTTTTACTCAGCGGTAAAAAACAATGACATCTTGAATTTTGCATGCAAATGGATGGAAATAGAAAACGCTTTACTGAGTGAGGTAAGCCAGACCCAAAAAGAGGAATATGGTATGTATTCACTCATAAGTGGATTCTAACCATAATTAAAGGTCTTTGAGCCTATAATTCGTGATCCTAGAGAAGCTAAATAAGAAGATGAACCTGATGAAAATCATGTAGCTGTCCTCCTGGAGATTGTAAATAGACAAGAGTGCCAGGTAACCTCGGGTGCATGGGGGGTGGGGGAGCTGTTGGAAGGGGAGAGGGTTAGAGAGAAGGGAGTAGGGAAGGAATGGGGAAAGATCGGGGGACTGGGATGGGGGAGGGAGAATGGATAGATATGGGATCAGGGAAGTATATACCTCAACTAAGGGAGTCATTTTAGGGTTTACAAGAGACTTGAGTATAAAGGGGATCCCAGGTCCAAGGAGAGATCCCCAGATTGTTCTCTGGACAGAGGAGAGGGTGCCTGAACCGGCCTTGGCCCACAACCATTCTGATGAACATTTTGCATATCACCATAGAACCCTCATCTAGCGATGGAGGGAGATGGAGGCGGAGACCCACGTCGGAACACTGGACCTAGCTCCCTAGGTCCAAACGAGAGGCAGAAGGAAGGAGAACGTGAATAAAGAAGGCAAGAGCAGAGGAAACCTTCATCCGACGTTGGATAGCAATACAGACGGAGACCCATATTGGAGCACCGGACTGAGCCCTCCACGGTCCAAATGAGGAGCAGAAGGATGAGGAAAATGAAAAAAAAAAAAAAAGGCAGGACTGCGATGGGTGCCATCACCCACTGATATAAGGGGACTGATCTAATGAGAGTTCACCAAGGCCAGCTGGACTGGGACTGAACGAGCACGTGATCTAACCAGATTCTCGGAATTTGGCCGGATTCTCTGAACGTGGCTGGCCCGGAGTCTTTCTGAAAAGCCATTGACAATGACACTGGGACTTGTTTCCTCTGCATATACTGGATTTTTGGGATCCAGTCTGTTTGGATACTCACCTTCCTGGGCATGGAGGGAGGGGGGAGGAACTTGAACTTTCCACAGGGCAGGAAACCCTGACTACTCTTAGGACTGGAGAGGGAGGAGGAGAGGGAGTGGGGGAAGTGGAAGTGGGAGGGTGTTGGGAAGAGGGGCGGAAATGGAAACTTTTATAATTTAATAAACTTTGAAAAAAAATAAAAAAAATTAAGAAGAAAAAGAGAGGATAAGAGATAGTGACTCTTATAGATAAATAAGGTGTTTTATTTTTAACAGATTTTTAGTTATAGAAAGTTCATATAAAACTGATGATGAAGGAACAATGTAGGGGTGTATAAGCTTACACAGAGAAGAGATAAAAACAAACTTTTATTTGATTGTGAGAGGTTCTTCAGAAATATTATAGAAAAGTGACTAGTAAAATAACTTTTAATTGCTGAAAATAAATCACCATTTGGTGAAAATGTCTGGATAAGGACACACATACATAATCTTGAGCCAAGTCTCAAACTTCTCATCTGACTACTTCTTGTTGTAATAGTTCACATAAGAAGAGTCTGCACTTAAATTAGTTTTTGAATCTAAGGTGCGTCCACCAGATGGCAGCATCCTCTCAGAGACCCAACTGCATTTTCTCACATGGTCCTTTGTGGCTGTGTGTTGTGGGGGTGGCAAGAGGGAGGAGAAGGGTTTCTGAGGTAGCAGTGAAAACCAGAACCTTTTTTCTTATTGGATGAACAGCTTGAATGTGGGTTTTTTTTTTTTTTTGCATCTTACAGAAGAATTTGAACTCCCTAAATGCCAGTTCTTTTGTTATGGTTGAAGTGTGGATCTTCAGTGAAAACAATAATGCATCCCTTAAGTGTTTTACTAGTGGTACTCTGGCTCCAGCTGAGGGGTGAGTTTGACCATTGCTATGGACACATAAAAATACAATATGTGAGACTATAACCTTCAAATGTTTTAGGACGGAGGGTAGGAATGTTCTCATGCTGAAACAAAAGCAGGTGGGAGGCCAATGGAAAAGCCATTCTGGGTGTCTGTATCCATATGTATCCAGTCCGGTTCATCTGACCTTTGTCTTTCTGCACAGGGGTGAGGAGCCAGCAGAAGGTGCATCAGAACCCAGAATTCCTCAGCGTCTCAGAAGGATCCATGGCCTCTCTCAACTGCACTTTCAGTGATAGTGCTTCTCAGTCCTTCTGGTGGTACAGACAAAATCGTGGGAAAGAACCCAAGGCTCTGATGTCCATCTTCTCCAATGGCAAAAAGGAGGAAGGCAGATTCACTGTTCAGCTCAATAAATCCAGCCTGCTTCTTTCCCTGCACATCAGAGACTCCCAGCCCAGTGACTCAGCTGTCTACCTCTGTGCAGTGAACACACAGTGCTTTCTAGTACACCTGTAGCCTACACCCAAACCTACAGGGCCTCAGCAAAGTCTGAGCTAGAGTACAGAAAACAGGGTGGAGAAATTCTGACTATTCTTCTGCTATTCCATATGAAATGGAAGGTAAGAGTCACAAGAGGGTTGGTTTAACTTACATGAAAAATACTTTATTATGCTGGGAATGAATGTAACACATATTGGTGTGGTTCAAATATTTTCCCCTTTATTTTAGTTGAAAAAAATTATATTTTAATTAAGATTTAGCTTCCACGATTTCTTTTCAGATCCTCCACACCTCCACACAACAACATCTTTATCACTCTCTTTAGCACACAAATGGACAAAATTAAATAAACAAAAAACAAAAGAAAGAAAAGGTGCAAGAAACACATATACAGAGGTATATTGTTGTTAGGAATATACAAGAAGGAATATATATATTCAAGAAGGAAGGAATAGTACCTTGGCATACTGGAGGCAGGGAATGCCACAAAGTCATACCATGAAATAGGACTCACAATAGAGAGATTTACTGTGGTGGGGAGGACTAAACAGAGGCTGCCTCTGACCAACGGTGGAAGGGGAAATGAGAACAGGCTGTCAAGGCCCTGGCTCTTTATAAAGTGTATAGTGTATGTGCAGAGGAGGAATACGTGACCACAGTGGAAATATGTTTTTGCAGGTGGACTTGGGGAGAGTGGAGTTTTCCAACACACATTAAAACAAAGTATGTAAAAACAGAAATCTGGAAATGATAATACACAAGCAGACCAGTAATACTTTTAAAAAGCCAAACCAAAAAAAATAAAATAAATTTCTACAAAAATATCAGTAAGTTACTTGTGTTGGCCATCTATTGTTAGGAATGGGAAATATCTTTGACTGTGGTTTGGATATTCAGTGAGATTGGAGAAAACTAATATTTCCTTCACAAGCACATTACCATTGGAAATACCTTCTTAGTTAGGTATGGGAACCTGTGTCCACATCCTCCATTCAACATGTTTACTGAGGTTTCTGTCCCATCTAATCCCGCAGTCATTCAGTCCCAAAGAAAAACACAGAGACCTACATTAATTGTAAATTGATTGGCCTATTAACTCAGGCTTCTTATTAACTCTTATAGTGTATATTAGCCCATAATTCTTGTCTGTGTTAGCCATGAGGCTTGGTACCCTTTTCGGCGAAGCAGTCATGTCTTGCTTACTCTGTATCTGGCTTCCTTCATGTGTGGGGGACGATTTCAGACTGAAACTTCCCTCTTCCCAGAATTCTCATTGCCCCACCTCTACTTCCTGCATGTTCATCTGCCTCTACTTCTTGCCTGGCTACTGGCCAATCAGTGTTTATTTAAAATACAAGTGATAGGGTACATACCATTGTCCCACAGCAGAACCACATCTCGTTTGAACCTGTGCAGACTCTGATCATGATGCCACAAACATAAATACGTTCTGTTGTTATCCACCACTTATGGTTCTTACACTCTTTCCATCTCTTATTCAATGGGGTACCCTGTGTACCAATGGGCAGGATTTGATGAACACTTCTCATTTGTGACTAAGCATTCCAAAATCTCTCACTCTGCACATTGTCAAGTTTTGGGTCTCTGTATTAGTTCCCATGCACAGTAAATGTTTCACGGAGGGGACTCTCATGCCTCTGAGAGATATGCACACCACCAAATTCTCAGGCACACAGCCAGACCATATTGCAATCAAGAAACTTGATCAGTCAGCTCACAAACCCCATCCAAATGTTTGGCCTACTGAAAGAGACAGAGTTCTTGCTAATAACATGGCCCATAGCCAGGAAGCAGCTGTTTGGAGACCATGTGTCTGCTACTGCTGAATCAGTAAGGCCTCCCTTAAAGGAGCTGCCATATGCCACCAACAAACAGCAAGAAACTGTGTTAAACTCAGTATTTTTGTTTGCTCTCTCAGGTTTTTAGGGGATCTAATTGGCCATGTGAGCACCAATCTGTTTGAGAAGAGAGATGCTTGCTCATTCTGACTGATTAGCCCTGAAATAACCACAGAGAAACTATATTCATTAAATCACTACTTGACCATTAGCTCTAGCTTCTTATTGGCTTACTTTTATTTCTTCATTTAACCCATTTCTATTAATCTATGTATCATCATGAGGTCGTGGCCTACCAGCAAAGTTTCAGCAAGTTTATCTCTAGTGGCAGCAGCTCCATGGCATCTCTCCAACTCTGTCTTCTTTCTCCTCAACATTCAGTACAGTCCTCCCTGCCTACCTAAGTTCTACACTATCCACAGGCCAAGGCAGTTTCTTTTTTCATTAATGGTAATCACAGCACACAGAGTGGACTCCCACATCAGAAAAGAGAAAGTTTCTGTGGTGAGTGTGATATAGATGCATGGGAATAGCAGAATATCATTAGGAGTCATTTCATTGCTACATTCCTTTATCAAATTGGTTCTCAACCTATGATTAATATCTCCTTTGTTGGGCAAATTGACCACTTACAAAGGTTGTCTAAGACCATCAGAAAGCACCAATATTTACATTATGATTCACATCAATAGCAAAATCACAGTTATGAAGTAGCAGTGAAGAAAAAAAAATTTTGTTGGGGGTCACCACAATATGAGTAACTGTATTAAAGAGCTGCAGCATTAAGAAACTTGAGAACCACTGCTTTATCAGAATAACAGTATTTGGTTTTCCCCTTGGCCCATGGCCTATCTGACCTAAGGTTCACTGAAGGAGCAGTGTCAGGCATGGGTTTCATCTCATGGAGTGGGCCTTAATTCCAGAGTCCACTAGAAACTAAGATCATGTTTGATTACTCCCACAACTTTAGCACCACTATTGCACCAGTATACTGGGTAGACAGGTCAAGTTGTAGATCCATGGGCTTATAGCTGGGTTGGTGGTTACTTTTCTCTTCTAGTAGTATTCAGAGTTCCTGCCAGTATCGTGAACACTAACTAGAGATGAAGGCTCTAGTTAGTCACCAGCTCAACTTCTTCATAGTCAATGAAATATGTAGTCACCTTCAGCATTAGGATCTTACTAGCATTTTGTGTAGAGCAACCCATTGTTTTGGCAATAGCCAAAAGTATTTGGGGGTCTCCGTGGGGCCCCTTTGTCCAATAACTCATCTAGATTCAACCTATTTCTAGTACTAGAGGTTTTACTTGGTGATGAAAAATGTGCAGTGGTAGTGTTATTTCCCCCCTTTTTGGTGACTGCATTTAGATTTCTTTCATATATGCATGCATTTTAAGAAGCTTATACAATAGGTTTCCAAAGGACTTTTCTATTGTATTCTAGTATTAGTTGTCCCCACCTATATTTCCTCCATTATCCCTGTCTTTCATTTTTCTCCTCTTTTCCCAGTCCAATCCCCACTCCATATCCCCATAATTTTATGTTCTATTTCTCCTCCTTTAGTAGATCTTCCCTAACTATTAGCCCATATTTTATACATAACATCTGCTTATATGAATTGTAGAATATCTATCTAAAGCTTAAGAGCTGATAGTCACACATGGGAAAATATTTGCCATATGGCATTTAGTTTACTTCACTCAGAACAATTTTTCTACTTTCGTACATTTAACCACAAATTTAATAATTTTATTGCTTTTTAACAACTGAAAAATGTTTCACTGTGTAAATATACCGCATTTTCATTTCCACACATCCCTTGATGTTGACATCTAGGCTGTTCCGAGTTTCTGACCATTATGACTAGACCAGCTCTGAACTTTTGTTCAGATATAAACAAACTTCCTAGTAGTAGGGTGTAGAGTCCTTTGGGTATGTGCTCAAGAGTGAGATAGCCAGATCATTACATAGATCTGTTTTCAGCTTCCAGAAGAACCAGCACACTGATTTCCATCATGACTATAAAAGTATGTATTAATACAATAGCAATGTGTCTGAAGATTCTTAAGGAACAAGATCAGTGCACACCAGAAAGCAGACAGCAAAATAACGATAAAGATCTGTCTTCCCTATCTGTATTACTAACTTCTCTTGACTATTCCAGTTAGTCACAGGCTACACCACATTATTTAAAGTTAATGCTATTAACATAGTGTAAGGGTGTCACAGTGCAATCAAATATCCCACAACAAAAATTACTTCAGATACAAGACCAGAGGATCAGAGCTAGATCTGAGGGAATTCCTCCTCCCTGAGAACAAGCTTTCACAGTACCAGCAGGTGCTATGCAAGCTTCCCAGGGAGGAAATAACAAAAAGTCCTATCCAGCTGCAGTACTTATCAACCACATCAAGAGCCAGCATGACCCAATAACCCTAAGGGGGAAACAGTTGTGCTCTTATTTTGTGGTAACCAGTAGCTGTCTAACTGGACTACAGGTCCACTCATGAGGAGGAAAACCATGTCTGGCACTGGAAACCTAGGTAACCACCAGGGACTAGTGAGTCCATGGAGCTTAGAAGGAAACCTACTTTAGCTACTTTACTAAACCAGCATAATTCCTAATTGCATTCTAAATATCTGTCTCTATACTCCTTATAAATGTAATTCCCAATCCCATCAAAGGAACTTCTCCTTACAAACATGGAGACCAGTGCAGGAAAACACAACCAAACAAAATTCAGTAACAGGCGATCATTTGGTACTGAGCCCCATTTTACATCTACAACATGATTTCTGCACCTAAAATTCAGGGAACATTAATGGAGGATGGTGTCCCGCGCTACCGTCTCGCCAGCAAGAACCACACGGAACACTAGGATCCTTCTGCAGGAATGGCTTTAATCCTCTTGGGAGCTAGAGCATAAGCCAACATGGCCGGGGACCCAGATAAGATGGAACCCATCCCTTATAAAGGAAACAGACCCTGCTTTGGACGTGTCATT